CCTTATATAACGATATGATGTTTTATCATTATTTCCAATCTATTGATAGAAAACAGTGTTTTTTATATACAAAACAAGTAGAAAACGACGTTCAGGAGTGAAAAGCATTCAATAGTCTGTATAATTGGTGCCATTAAACAAGTAGAGAGTATTAAATGATTTGTTGGTTCAACTATTATGAGCCCTAAAATCGATGAATTATTCACCAGAAAAGCTATCCTTTTATTATTTAATCCGCGATTAAATACTAAAAATATGATAACTTTTATTAAGTCTTATATTAAATTATGTTAATAATTGATTGGAGTTTAATGTGAAGCACATTAACACTCATTTGTTTAGTAAAATACAAAAACTTATGAATGAATTAATTAAAATATTTTTTTTTCTATATTCTGTATTATGTGTGAAACTCTTTAAACAAATCTAATCAATGAATTAATGTGGGCTAACATTTGTGGTTCACTTAAAATGATATCTCTTATAAATGAAATATTTTAAATATTCTTGCGATAAATGCACACATGTTTGGCCTCAAGTATTATATAATTATTGCTTTTGTGCTCAACGATGAGTCTGTCTATTAGGCGGTAGTCTTATGGATAAGTTATTCCCCAAAAAGGAAATGAGAATTAATATGTTTGTGATTAATGGCATTCAAAGTCGTATAACATTTTGGTCTAATGGCGAAGAAATGATCGGTTCATCAGAAGCGGCTTTAATGCCATCAAAAAAATTGAAGCAACCGTTGGATAGCATAACCAGTCTGTCGGCGCCCATCGTTAAGTAACCCAATAATTTGATGCCATTTAATACTTACTCCTATTATGGCTATTGATTTGTTTTTTGTTTTACTCGTTTTCCGATTTATATTTCCCAATAAAAATATGAATAATATTTATGTAATAAAATATTCACATGTATGGCTATAATATAGATATATCGGTCATTTCCTTTTCTTCTCATGCATTACAACAATATATATCACAAACAACTTATGGCTTATTTCTAACTAAACCATAACTAAAATGCATTGTTTGTCAAAAAAAAGCAAAGAAAAAGATATAGTAATCGATGAGAAGACGAGTGACGAGAAATTGGGGATCAGTTGACAAAATTGACGACTTCTTCATTGGTTAGCTTCTTCTCGACATACCTTTTGTTTGTGTCGATAAGAATCCAACCTCTCGTGAATCCGACTTCTGAACTACCATTGCATTCAACCATCCGTTGGATTGTATTATGAAATAGAGTTAAAAGTTTTTATACTAATTGAAAGTTGGAGTTCTTTGTGTTAATAAGCATTTGAGACACACTTTGACTCTAAATTCATTGCATTCAACAGAAGAAAAGACAAAATTTGAGACAAAATAATACAAAGTATTGAAGACTTAGAATCAATTATATTGCCATCACTTTTCTCACTCACTGTAAAGCATTATTCGCGTCAATGGTTTAGGCTTTAAGTCTGAAGAAAAAAGGGATATATTATATGAAAAGCGTGTGTTTGAAGAATAGTAGCGCTCATAAAGAAAAGGCAAATAAAATTTAAATCGCAAATCATGTCTTGTCCTCAAATAGTCTTTTGAACACTAAAGATATGATGAGATATTGTTTTAATCAAATTGAGAGAGAAGTCTATTTGAGGGATAAAAAAGAGAGCGAATTCTTTAAACGAATGGCTTTTATGCTTAAAATAACAATTTCTGACCAAAGGTTCTGAATATTATGCGGCATTTGCTAAGAAATTACTTCAATTTATAACCAAATAATAAACTCCTATTATTGTCTATGACTTTATACTCAAAATATAAACAGTTTTTTGTTTCAAAAACCATTTGCGCTGTTTTGCAATGAATACTGTTATTTCAAACTCATTATCTTCTATAGACTTAGAGATAATGGTTGTGAAGACACTCATAACGAGAATATATGAAAATAAAGAAAATTTGGTTCAAAGCCTCTATATTAAATTCTTTTATGGTCTCAACTATACTCTACAATAGTATAGTCTACTCTTTACCTCATCTTTTTTTAGCATTTTTTACATATTTTTTCTTCCACTGAAACTCTGAGGGAAAACAAATGATCAACTCTTTCGTCGTTCATTCATTTAAATAGTTTTCATATTCTTGTTATCATTTGTTAGTAGAATCCGAGACTTGTATTCACAGAATGTAATCAATTTGTACTTAAATGTTGACAACTTTTTCGGAGTCGAAAAATAATTTTAATGATTAGTTGAGAGAAAATCGATACTTTGTTAAAAAGTTACGACAAAAATATATCGCAATATAAGTTATAATACTTGAGAAGAAAATATACTTTAGAGTCAATCTGTAGTATTGGATGACAGGGTTAGCGCTCTTTCATATAAATTAAGTGCAGTTATGCTTGAAGTCTATGTCAAAGAATGAGGTAAAATACTGTATGCTTTTCACTTTGATTGTCGATTTAAAATCGATAATAACAATAATATTTAAGACCAAACAAATACAATAACCAATGTTTAGTGTTTCGTTTCTTATTTTGTGTGCACTTTATGTTACTATTAGTGTTACTGTATATCACATAAAGTCGTTGCCATTCACTGACTGGTGCTCTCGTGATGTACTGATGTTGAGATGGTTTGTCTGCCAATGAGACTCAAAATCTAATGAAATGTAGTAAATGTTTGTTTTATTCCTAATACCCGACAAACACTTCTCCGAAATGAATTTCACTGAAACTAAACGCAAAACCAATTCTTGCATTTGAGACAAACGAGAAGTTATATAAAAACTTAAATGCAATGTCTCTTCTCATTGACACGCATTGATGGGTGGAGTGTATAGTGTATTGAGGTCTCAAAAACTCATTACGATTCTTATGTTTTAACACTAATTTCACTTTACAATTAGACATAAGATTTTGTTTGATACAAAAATTGGTATTCAAATTGAAGTAAAGTACACCAAATGTGTGCACAAAATTGCATTGAAATGTTCGCCACTTAATTGAAGAGAATAAATAAAGTTTAGATGTGTTTAGATATATGAACACAAATTGATTGCATGTTTTATATACTTAACAAATTACTTGAATTTCATTGATTAAGAGCTCAAGCGTTGGCCCAAACTTTTACTGCAAAACTGATTCATTTTTGGTGCTCTAATTCTAGGCATCAGTTAATACACTAACGAATACTAACTAACGATCCGAATATAAATTAACCAAAAGAGCAAATGTAGTGAAACTCCAATTGTATTAATGCTATGATTTTATGTCCACTAATAAACACATTATGCCTATTAAGAAGCAGCTGTTCAGCTGTTCCGCCAAATCAATTTATGTCTAATAATTTTTTCTTCGGTTATGTATACAAAACAGATCGATAGGATGTGATGGCTAGCGATATACATCTCTTGGAGAGTATGCCATTCGGACAGACCTCGAGGTTTGCCAAAGGGGTCAGCTTTCAAGCCTTAACTGATATACCAGACGAGTGTTGTCTTCAGAATAGAGTGAATATTATCCAAAGAAATCCAATGATTATAAACACCGGGACCTCAACTGTTATCAGCAAATCCTCGTCCAGTGATAGTGACACCAATGATAGCCACACTAGACTTCTGGAAGACTCGCTGCAGGACTTCCGAAGTGTTCAGTATCTGCTGTTGACACCGACGGCCACTCACACCACCACATGTCTGAGTGAGGATCCATCCAATACTTCCGATGCTTTGTGGACACAAATGCAGAATTCATTGTCAAAAGAGATTAGAAGCAGATATTTGACAAAAAGACGTTTTGGATCAAACATCAGACGTGATTATACTTTGGTTGGATTGCAGTGCTATTCGTCTGCCTTTAAGACTGTGTTTAGTGTCACGTTATGTGTACTCTTGTGTTGTATTGTTCTTCTAATGACAGTATTATATGTTTGGCATAACAACCACTTCAGTGCTCACAATACGATGGCAGACATACCCGACCAGAACTGGTGGCGCGGATCCGCTTTCTATGAAATCTTTGTTCCTTCGTTTAAAGACTCGGACGGAGACGGGTTCGGAGATTTCAATGGATTACGAGAAAAGATCCCTTACTTGAAAGAGTTGGCAATTAATGCCATAAGACTTAACTCTATATTCTCTGCATTGGATTATCCGCACAGATATGATAATATTCTGGACTTTTTCAGTGTTGACCCACACTTAGGAAAACTCAATGATTTTATTGAATTGGTTTGAATCACATTTTTGTTGTTACGCTTATGTAGTCATTATAATACATGTGATGCTATCGGGAAGGGGTTGTCGAGTGCTCTTAGAATAATTGAAATTTGTTTGAAAACAAGTATTCATTAAACATCATGTGTTTATTTTAGGTAAAAGCACTGCACGAATCAAAAATCTATATTATTCTGGATATAAACCTGGTCTCCACATCAGATCAACATCCATGGGCTGCTCATTGGCTTCTCAATAGGTCGGGAGAGTATCAATATTTTTATGTTAACGTCAGCGGAGATCAGAATAACGTAAGTTTATGACAATATTATACACACTATCATGTGTTACAACTCCTAACAACTGAATGATGATAACGAAAGTCACTAAATATCACACAACAAGTAGAGTATTATTAGATTTGATATTCTTATATGCGATGATGTGTTGATGGGTTATGGAGTTGAGGGGTTGGGGACACAGAATATTTCACTTATTGTCTATCAATTGCTTTGTGTTTTACAAGAATAAAGCGATTGAAAGAAATAAGTGAATACTATTTTGGAGACAAAAGTCAGGCCATAAAAGATTTCTCAATAAAGAGTATTATATGAATAGAAGCGATGCATCACTGAATCAAAGGAAACGTTTCAATCAGTTGTTGTATTAATACTATTCTTCGATAAATTCTGTATATATTTTGTAAGCTTTTATACATTGTGTGCACTTATAGGACGAGGACTGGACGTCTAGCAGTGCGACAGATAGACTCCAAACAGATTTTCTGCACAGAGATGTGAGAATCAATCAGTTATTATTAATCAGATTTATATTTAACCAAAATTTATCTTAATTTAAAGTCACATTTTGGTGGACGCCTTCATCTCAATTGGTCTCATCCGGGAGTTCGACACCAAATGTTTCAAGTGTTTGACTTTTGGCTCCAATATATAGACGGCTTTTACTTAAAACGTTTGGAGGATCTGTACGTCGATTCCGAAGCCATAGTCTATAATATATTAAGTGAATTGCGATTACGAGCCAACAGAGGAGTGATGAGTGGTGGCCATGGAGTAGGTGTTGGCGCTCACAAAGTCCTCATCTGTTCGTCGAGTTTTGTGCAAAAGAGGCATAAATTGTTGTTGAATTATATGAGAGATCCATTAGCGCCTAATGACCCCCGATTCAGCGCAACCCCAAACAATGCCTCCAAACATACAACTGATATAAACTCTTATTTCGATTTAATTGATTTCCAACTAAACATCGATACAAATCAAACCGAGACTATTAGAGATCAAGTGAACGCCATATTTCTTAATTCGCCGAACACTCCATGGATTCACTGGAGTGTCGGCGATGTCGAGAGGTATTAAACTTACCATATATTTGTCCTGTTATTCACAACTTTGTGTTTGCTTTTGACTTATTTTCGAGTATTACAGAAGCTTTCAATGAATTCCTCTCTGAATATTATAAGAATTGCTAAACTAATGCTATATTTGATGCAAATATGATATTTTTTTGTGCTAAAAGATCTCGTTTGGCGACAAGGATTGGGAGTCAGTACAGTGTAACGGTGTGTTTCCTATTAATAATGTTACCAGGCACAATTAGCTGGTTCTACGGCGATGAGATTGCACTCCACGACACATACGATCCACTCTCACAAAAGGTAATACAATCAGCAAATAATCATAGACTCAGTTAATGAATAAATGAGCAAAAAAGAGACGCTTCTTAATGAATAGCTTATGGGCTCTACTTATGGGCTCTTCTTATGGTTTGGTTTCATATTTATTAATACCGACAATAAGTGAGTCGTGAATGAGAAAAGATTTGAGTTTATTATTTCGCATCACTTTATTATTAGTGTATTATATTATTTGCTGACTTAACCAACAAATTCCCGTCTTTTGCTAACAATAATACACAACTGTTTCGGAAAACAGAATGAATTAAATGAAAACAAAATGCCTTTTCGAGTGTAAAGATTTTCTTTATGAGAGAGAGAGAGAGAGAGAGAGAGAGAGAGAAGTCTATTTGAGGGATAAAAAAGAGAGCGAATTCTTTAAACGAATGGCTTTTATGCTTAAAATAACAATTTCTGACCAAAGGTTCTGAATATTATGCGGCATTTGCTAAGAAATTACTT